GGCCGCGCGCCGCCCCCGATTGGCCGGCGGTAATTACGGGCACGCTCCGGGAGGGGGGAGGGGCGGGGGCGGCCTCCCGCGAGCATAAATTATGCAAATACCCGGGCGCCGCACGGGGCTGACCTGCCGCCTCGCTCCATTCACCGGGGCTGCCGCAGGGGCGGAGGTGGCAAGGGAGGGGGGCGCCCATTGTTGTGCCGGGTACTTAAGGGGTCCTGAGGCCGGTCGTGTGCCACACTTGGTGCTCACACGAGCTGATCTGATCGCTGGCGACATCACTCGGAGACCGGCTGGGCGCGTGGCCCCTGCAGGCGAGGCAGGGAGTGAGGCCAAATTGCCCGGGCGCCCCTGAACCCATCCAGGCCTTCGCGCCCGCAGCAGGCCCAGACTAACCCCGGGCTGTTCGAAACGTGAGTGCGCCCCGGCGGCCCGGCCCTCCGCCGAGGCTGTTGTCCTCTAAGCGACTTCCTAAACATCCGCCAGTCCTGCCCAGCGCAACGATGCCAGCCCCTCTGGAGACCTGCCTCTCTGACCTCGGCTGGGCCAGCAGCAACAGCGGCGGCAGCGACCAGTCTGGCTTCCTCACCGACGAGGAGGACTGTGCCCGGCTCCAGCCACCGGTCCCCACCTCAGGGCCGTCCGCGCCGCCCCGTAGGGGTGCTCCCGGGATCTCTGGGGCGCCCGAGGTTCCAGGGGCGCAGGACGATGAGCAGGAGCGGCGGCGGCGCCGGGGCCGGGCACGCGTGCGCTCCGAGGCGCTGCTGCACTCGCTGCGCAGGAGCCGGCGCGTCAAGGCCAACGACCGCGAGCGCAACCGCATGCATAACTTGAACGCCGCGCTGGACGCACTGCGCAGCGTGCTGCCCTCCTTCCCCGACGACACCAAGCTCACCAAGATCGAGACGCTGCGCTTCGCCTACAACTACATCTGGGCTCTGGCGGAGACACTGCGCCTGGCGGATCAAGGGCTGCCCGGAGGCGGTGCCCGGGAGCGCCTCCTGCAGCCGCAGTGCGCCCCCTGCCTGCCCGGGCCCCCGAGCCCCGCCAGCGACGCCGAGTCCTGGGGCTCCGCTACTGCCGCCTCCCCGTGCACTGCCGCTGCTTCGCCACTGTCTGACCCCAGTAGCCCCGCAGCCTCTGAAGACTTCGCCTACGGTCCCGGCGACCCCCTTTTCTCCTTCCCCGGCCTGCCCAAAGACTTGCTGCACACGACGACCTGCTTCATCCCTTACCAATAGGCCCTTCGTAGACACCGTTACCTTCTGCCTCCGCAGTCAACAGGCAATAGACCCAGCCCCAGGTGGAAGGATGAAGCGCGAGCTTTAAAGGGGTGGGGGATACCTGAACGCTCTTTAGGTCGCTGCATCCTCGCCGTGGCGGCCCCTGGGTCTGTTTCCCCAGCCTTCTGCCCCTGGCCCCTCCTGCCCGCCCCTAGACGGCCTTTCCTTTGCACTTTCTGAACTCCACAAAACCTCCTTTGTGGCTGGCTCAGCACTGACCCCAGCCACCACTTCAGTGTGATTTAGAAAAGGGACACATCAGCCCCTGAAGACGAGGTGAAAAGTCAATTTTACAATTTGTAGAACTCTAATGAAGAAAAACGAGCATGAAAATTCGGTTCGAGCCGGCTGACAATACAATGAAAAGGCTTAAAAAGGAGAGACAAGGAGTGAGCTTCATGCATTATGGATCCTGACCCCCACCACGCAGGCTCGCTGGGGAAGAACCCGAGACTCTGTAGCTATTCAGGCACTGGGTTGGAGAGTACTTTAATTTATTCAAGATGCTTCATTCATATGAAAATGTATTTTTGTACATAAAGAGTTTATTCTATTATTATGAGCTATCAAAGTTTACACTTTTTTGTACTACAGATGCTTCGTGTAAATAAAAACTAAGTAAAAATCAGTCACCAAGTTTCTTGCCTACTGTTAGTGTCTCGGGGGCTTTTCTTCTCTTCCCCTGGTGGCTTAGCCACTAAAGTGAAACACTATCCCCACCCACCTCCAAACCCTCCAGTCTTGTTTCAAAAACAAAAAATAAATGCACCTGAGTTCCACCAAAAAATGAATAAAGAGACTAGAGCGTTGGGGATCCATCCTTTCCTTTCACCTTGCACGCACAAGGGAGAGCTTTCAGGCTCCCCATAAGCCAATTAAGACTTTTTAGTGAGGAATTAGCCCCGGATACGCAGATACCTGTAGAAGTAAGGGCGGGGGAGAGTCTTTTGAGGAGCTCCACATCAGCTGGCTCTGTTTCAAAGAGAGGGGATTAAAAAGATCAATACAGTGTGACCACTGGTTAGGAAGTCCGAGTGACAGGTGGGCCTAGGCTGGGCAAGCAGAAGGGTCCACTCTTATAACAGCCTATTTAGAGGGAAAATTGATTTGTAAACAATGCCTCCAAATTGTTGTCCATTGAGGCTGGGTTCAACTCTGGCTGTGAGGTATGGGATGAATTATATTGGTGTAAGTGTCCCTGAGTGGGATGTGCAGCTGCCTAAAGTTGTGAGCTAGGGTGCACACAACCCCCAACACACACTCCTACCCACTGTGGGCCACAGGGTGGGGGGAGGTGGAGGAACACTCAGAGGGAGGCCTGGGGCTTGCTCAGCCAGTCTTCAGGGGCACCAGCCAAAGCTTTCATTTGCTGCCAGAGAAATCAGTCGCTCAAACTCAGCAGGGACTTTTCTGGCTTCAGTGTGTTTGTCTGTTGTCCAACAATTAGCAAACAGCACCGGCTACTAACAGCTTTTGTTTTAAATTTCAGAATGCAAGTAATTACAAGAGGTAGTTCCTAAAATGCAGCCACTGTTTCCCCAGCACACAAGTTACCTCATATTATGACCATGATTTTTCTGTTCCCCATTGGGCTGCTCCTTTTCAGGAATATGATTATTTGTTGGTGGGATAAGAGGTGCAAATGGGTTTAGGAAAATGGTATTCACTAGCATTAGAGAAATTAAATTCATTCAGGAAGTGAACAGAAGCAGAGGGCCAGAGTAAGGCCGCTGATAGCATGATCCCTTTCTGGAAGTGTTCTGTACACACATTGTCATCAGGGGAGCTGGACTGACAGATTCATCTGTGGGGGGCCCCCAGCAGGCATCACTAAGCCCAGTCATGGGCAAGGTTCCCTCCTTCAAACAAAAAGTCTACTCTCTGGAAGGTGCTGGAAAGTTGGATGCCTTCTCTAATTGCTCCCAGAACAGAGACAGGGTCCTCCCAGAAAAGATTCCAAAGCTGGGAGGGCTGAGGCCAAAATCACTTCTGCTAAAAGCTCTACAGAAAGTGTCTGTAGAATGTCCCAGCCCGGGATCTGCACTCTATTGTCTGAATTAATTCTCACTAGAAGCTTTGCATTTTCCTAGAACAGAAGACTCAAGTGATCTGCATGAGATTTTTCACTCACATGCATAGGATGCTGGGAAATGATCCCCTTTAGCTTTCAGAGGGGCTCAGACGGGGTCTGTAAGAAGGTCAGGTCCGCCATGGAAACTCTTCGGCCATGATGTAGGTGCACGTGTCTGGCACAGAGGAAGAGAACAACAGATTGTAGTTTTCATTGTCCAAAATCCCTGGAAAAGCACCAGCAAGTGGCTGCAGTAGAGCTTTGTCTCTTACAGCTGCAGACAGCCAACACTGCAAACAGGGGACCGCCACCAACACTGGAGAATAGCGCGCCACATTTCCAATTGTGTGGCCACGATGGGCTCAAAACACAAGGTGCAGGACCCAGAGCACCTTTCCATAAAGAGACCGTCTTTAACAACATTGTTTGTTGGGGGCGGCTCCACCCCTGCTGGTTAATACTATTCTTCTAAGGAAGCAAGCATGTATGGGCAGCCCTTGGAGCTCTCAAAGAGGAGAAAAGAAGGAAGGTGGTTTAAAATGCTTATCCCCTGCTCAGAGGCCCCTTTCTTCCAGCAGCAAATGCTCATTCATCCACTGGCCTCTGTGAAGGCAGGGTGGGAGCTACTACAATATTCTAATCAATCGTAGAGCAGAGAACTTTCTACTGACAGCCATGTCTCGCTGTCCTCAGTCCGGTCTTCCACTGAGGAAGCAGCAGGCACTTAACAAACCTGATTTATTTCCTACCCTGATTGCTTAGGTTTTGTTTTGTTTTGTTTTGTTTTCTAAAACATACATGTTTCTGAGCCTTTGGGAAAGCAAGGAAGGGAAGATGAGGGTGAAATAATACAATGAAGATTTAACCTTCTGTCATTTCTTTAATGACTCTTTGCCAAGCTCTTGCTCTGTGCTGAGCACCTTTCTAGGGACTGGAGTGGGTGATCAAGACAGACAAACTCCTGGCCTGAAAGGAGTTTATTTCTACTAGGGAAAGGAAAAAACATGATTTTGGCAAGTACCGAAGAGAAAGGATCATGTAAAATAGAGGGAATAAGGAATGCCAGGGTGGGAGAGTGGTTGCTCTTTTAGAAAAGATAGTCAGGGAAGGTCTTTTAATGAGGTGACATCTGAGCAAAGGCCTGAGAGAAGAGAGGAGGAAGCAAGCCATGCCAGTATCTGGGGGGAGGGGGAGGAGCACCCCAGGGGGATGATGGGAAGATGGGAAAACCAGGCTCTGTTGTTAGGCATGCAAGAAAGACAGAGATCAAGGATACCTTCAAGGATTTGGATCAGAAGAAGCTAGGATGCAGAATCTGTCCTCAGGCATGTGTCTGTGCACAATCCCAAATCCTGAGAGGAGCATGGGTGGGAAAGGATTACAGCATGGTCATCCCCCTGGGGCAGGGTGGGGCAATTGAGCGTGCTCTCTCTCTCTCTCCCTCTCCCTCCTTCTCTGGCAAGTGCATGCACCTTGTAGCAAGAATTGAAGGGAAAAAAGAAATGGAGTGAGGACCTATTCTCCAAAGCCCTCTGCAAATGCTAAAGAAGAGTGGTTCATTTTGGCACCCAAAGAGAGCATGGAAACACACGATTTCAGTGTCTGGAAGGTAAAGACAGAGCCAGACAGTGCCACAGCAGTGAACTGCAGTGCTCTGTGAGACTTACTCGCATGAGAAGGTTCCAGGTTCATGTCAGAAGATCACCTCCCCACCCTGTGTATGGTGGGGACACAGGTCCCCATGACTCAGGACAGGTTGAGGCTGGGGTGGATTATGGAGTCAAGCTCTGATTAGGAGTGCTGATTCTCTGTCGCTCTTTCTCTGTCTCTAACTCATCGAAGATAAACTTAAAAAAAAAAAAAGATGAAGGGCTGGCTTCATAGTGACTAAGTTTATAGTTTACTCTTTGGTTCAATTAGGTTAAATTCATCCCGAAGCAACCTGAACACCCTCTTTCTCCGTCTCTAATTCATCAAAGATAAACTTAAAAAAAAAAAGATGAAGGGCTGGCTTCATAGTGACTAAGTTTATAGTTTACTCTTTGGTTCAATTAGGTTAAATTCATCCCGAAGCAACCTGAACACCTGCTGTTCACCTAACACGTCAACTTGGTACATTACACTATTGTTCATCACTGCTTTCCTCCCCATTTTACCATGCTGTTCTGTTTAGGCTGATGGTCCTTTCTGTCCCATTGACTTTGGGCATTGGCCAATGGACTGTGAGCATTCATGAGCTCCACCACATCCAAGTAGAAGCTTCTGCTGACTAGGACAGCTCATTTCTCTCTCCACTTCTGCTCTCTTCAGACTCTGCTTTCTGTTTGAAGATTGCATGACTGAGAAAGTGACCATCTCTTCAGCCTGAGACCCCAAATGAGTACTATATGCTTAAATCCTCCCCCCCAAACAAGATAAGCCACATTTCAAATCAGGTCATGAAGAAATCCGTGAGGGCCAGCCCTGTAGCATAGAGGGTAGGTGCCATATATTGGGAGCTGGACCCTACATAGCCAGCTGCAGTTTGAATCCTGGCCCCAGGGGCCTGAGAAACACTGGAGGCATGCATGAATGCCCCAAATCCTGATAGGAAGGAGGAATGGAGGAAACATTTTGTGGTTTGATCATACCCCATGGGGAGGAGTTATCTTTCTTATTTTTGTGCAGTTTTTAAAAAGAAGAAATCTGATAAACACATTCTGTACCAAAAACTACACCTGACTCTTCCTAGAATCAAATCAGATGCCTTGGCTCCCCAGTCACTCCATGTCACCTAAGCTTGAACCACAAGCACAGGTGATCATCATCCCCCAAACACAGCATGGCCTTTCTTGGCTTTGTGACTTTCTGCCCTCTTATCTCCTCTCCAGCTACCTATCTGGCTACC